CTGTTATTGTCCCCGTGAGTTTTGTCTCTGTAACTGCTATGATGTCTGGGGACTTCTCATTGATTCTTTCTTGCCATTCCTCATGTTTATTCGTTAATCCATCTGCATTTGTGTACCAAACCTTCGACTTCTGTTCTTGCAAATCCCTTATCCTGCCCTTCAACATGTGTATATCCTCCACTGGGTACACCCCGGCCACAGCCCCCCCTTGTAACAATCCTGTAATCTAGATTCTAAATAATTTGACAAACCATACCGCAATTGATTAATGCGTTTACCCTCCCTCACATAAAATTGACGTATTCTTACCTTAGCCACACTATCCCACCATCCTACCACATCCTCCTCAGTCCTTCTGTCTGCCCAGAGCTGTTCCCAAAATACTGCAAAACCTTCCAATCCCTCCCTATCCCTCAAAACCATCGTGTTCAGTTTCCAATAACTTCCCTGCCTACGAGCCAAAGCATCCCACCCCACCTCCACTAATACCGCCCTATGATCGGAAGACACCATCTCAATAGTTTTAAAAGACTCTACCAAAACCCTCTGAGATAAATATAACCTGTCCAAACGAGCCGCATATCCCATTCTTATAAACGTATGTTACACCTCCCACAGACCTCCCCCGAAAGCATCACGTAACTGAAGGTCTCTAAGCAGGCCTCCCAAGACTGAGGAAAAATATCCCGCCCCTCTGGGTTCCACGTCTGCCCTCTTAACTACACAATTTCAATCCCCCCCACAATCGCCACCGACGGTAACGTGCGTAGGTAGTACACGACCCCTCCTCCCGCACAAAATCCATCTTCACTTTCACGTCACTTTCTGCTGGGGCATACACACACACAAACGCCACTCTCTCTCTCTCCCATCCACCACCTTCCACACGTAATACTCTCCCCCTCCCCCCCTCTCTTTCCTGTGCAATACAAACGGGCTCGCCTCCCTAATCAACACACCCACTCCTCCTTTTAAGCGCTCAGACGGCAACACATAAGCCTGATACCCAGGCACCTCTAATTCACGACCAAGCTTAAAATTGTGCTCCTGCACAAAAGCTACGTCAATCTTGTACCTATTCAAAAACATCCTGAAGCACTCACGTTTTAAACAACATCACACAGACCATTAATATTTATTGTTACACACCTGAGGCCGGCTTAAAGTTTCCCTCCCCGCCTCATGTCATGACTCTTCCCTTTCAAACCATTTCCCTGGGCTTTGCCTTTGCCACATACTCCACCCTCCTTCCCAGCCATCCCCCCCCCCCTTCTGTTGTGGCCCTCTCGTAGAGTCACTCTGAGCACCATAACCCCATGTCTTTTTTTCCTGGCCTTTGCGCCGGCGTCAGAACATCGTCCGAATCTGACGCTGCTGCCCTTTTCCTTGTAGCTCCTTCAGTTTCCATATCTGAGTCCTGGGAGCCAGCACAATGGACTTCCACCTCTACCACCCTTAATCCGCCTCCATGTCCTTCCATGGCACTCACACTGTCCATCACAGGTGCCACCTGATCCTCCCCCCTCCCGCACACACCTGCCCTGATCCCAGGTTCCTGCTCACTGTGACTCTCCACCTCCGTAGACTCTAACATAGCCTGTATCACCGTCTCCAACTCCTCCTCAATAGCTTTCACTTCTGCGCCCACCTGCACCTCTTCACTTGACAGCTGTACTGTTGATGGGCCAGGTGATTCATGGATCTCCACTTCTTCTGATTCCACAGGAGGAGCCATCACCTCTTCACTCCACAAGCGACCACGCCCTCCTCCTTGCCTCCGTTCTTCCTCAGGCATCGGTTTCTCATGGACAGGTGCTGCGCCCCTTGCCGGCCCAGGAGCCATATTCCGCTTGCCACAGACTGCCGCCATATGGTCAAATTCGCCACACAGTCGGCATGTACGCCTCTGCCCAGCATACGCTACCATGACCTGGGTTCTAAACTCCTCGAGATATACATACGAGGGTATAGGATGCCTTAGCGTCATCTTGAGATTGAAAGAACCCTCAGGATAACCTGTGTAAGCTCCTTTTACCCATTTACCAGGTTGGGCCAGATGTACAGTGCCATAACGTTCGAAACATTGCGTATATCCACTTCATCAGCCTCAAAAGGCACGTTTCGGAGCTTAACCCACGAATAATGTCGTGATACATCCGTCAACTTGACCCTCACTGCCGGTGTTACGTTAATGCTGACATCTTGATAACGATCCACCAACGCCTCGTATACTTGAGCAGTTAGCACCTTCACGAATATTCTATACACACCGTTCAGTGCCACTCCATACAAATCCTCGTCTCTGATGCCGTATGTCTCTCTCACAATTTTGGGCAATAACACATCAACTGACGTAGGCGTTAAAGCCCCACTAATGAGCTCAATGCCCACAGTATTCACCCTTCTGCGCACACCTGGCGCCATGTTGTTGACTGAGTAGCTCGTCTGGGAAAACAGTAGAGGGGTGCAAAGCACGACCGCACTCTACCTCATCCAGGCAGCGAATAACATATATTGACGATTTTGTTCATGATTGTAGCCATACATAAACATAAGTAACCATTCTTACAGGATTCATTACCTTTGTAACTTGTGAGTTCATTACCTTTGTACCTAGTTCAGCTATCAAAACTTTGGAGTCCAGTCGCTGGACTCATTACGTACCTCTGTAATCTTTTGACTACCGGTGCATAATAAACATTAAACTGGACACAGCCTTGCCCCTTATCTACAATAGCCTTGCTTATCTCAAGCCAAAAGCAATTCCTCAACACTACAGTATGGATGTACCATAACATATTTATTTATTTATTTATTTTGACATGATACATAGTTGTACAAAGAAATATAGTGATTGGGTGTACATGCCAAAAGCCCCTTGTATGCAGAGCATTATGGGGAGGCTTAAAATTAACTTAAGATTAACTAAGCAATGATATATTCAGTGGTAAAAATTACAGTAAACAAATTACAACATGAAGTACAAATGAATATTTCAGATAAGAAGCATTAGAGTTATATAAATTTGTAGCATAATAATGTATAATATAATCGAATCAGATCGAGTAAAATCAATGATTTGTAGTGCAGAAACAGGTCATGTGGTCATTAGATGAGTTACTGTGCATTCAAGAGAATGGAATATTCTATTAGGTAATGTAATTAAAAAAAAAAACAATTTCATAGGGTCACAGGTTATACGTTTATTTCCACCATATCTCTGTAAGTAAGTTTATTCAGGTATACACAAATACAGTTACATAGATTATCATACGTACCAGGATTTGTGTAGAGAACCTTGGATAATCCGAAAAAGTCAGACAGTGACTTATTTCCTAAAAGGCTTTAGTGCAAATTTACATTGTCATTTTATTGGCAAATATCAGAGTCTATTCAACATCTGGTTTTATTGCGATTTATCCTAGTTAAGGTATACATTTTCAAGCGGTGGATGGAATGAACTACTTGTAATGACGATAAGACAGAGATAAGATTAATCAGATTAACCTAGAGGGTTCGCAATCGTGTCATTACGATTTGGTGAGTCATAACCCAAGAAAATCAGTCAGGATGCTGTTACATACATGTATAGTGATGCTGCCAATAATCCTGCAAGTAATGAATCAGACAAGAGCAAAATACATTGAGAAACATAAATTGCACTCAGACAGCTGATCTTATGGACTTTATTATTGCAGAGTGCAGACAAAAGCATGACAGGAACCCAGAAAAAGTCAATCGTTTTATGCCTAATGTAAGTTCGACACATTTCACCCTGATCGTCATGCGCGAGAAGATGCGACAGCGTAATGGGTGTGAACTGCCTGTAATGTATCAGCCCATCCTCTTAATAACAAGCAGTATCAAGTGCTTGTTATTAAGACAGTCAAATGGGTGACTGCTTCACAAGCCTTAAATAGTGATTATCTGAACATGTATTTTCTGGTGTGCTCGGTGGGTCCCCTTTTCCTGTTTCGCTTCAAAACTTTTTCTCGCCTTTGCGTTAAATTTAATTTATTGGCGTTGTGGCATGTTATAATTGGTTATTTTTTAATGATAGACGACAGCTTAACTTTATTAAACCTAACCTAATGTAAATAATGTTAATTGAGAAATTGGCTGAAAATCGTATGTGAGAAATCAACAGAATTTGCAAGGATGAGTTGAATGTTTCAGAGTCAGAGAGAGAGTAAGACATGCACTAGGCGTGGCATTAGTATAAGAGTAATGGCAGTAAGAATGGCATATGTAGTAATTATGCCATAAGCTGTAACCCATTTTTTTAAAAAAAAACGGCCGTCTCCCACCGAGGCAGGGTGACCCATAAAGAAAGAAACACTTTCACCATCATTCACTCATCACTCTCTCGCGAGAGGGGCGCCGATACTATAGTTCAAACTGCAAATATTCCCACTCCTCCTGAGTACAGGCACTACTTTCCACCTCCAGGACTCAAGTTTGACTAACCGGACTTGAATCCAGTGGAAGACGAGGGATAATGAAAAAAATTCAGTACAGTATTATGGCATTTCTCAATTAATTGATAGGCCTCTATGTTGTATTCCTCCAAACAAATCATACTGTATTTCAGAGATAACCTTCAAGCACACACCGTGTTTTATATATTGCTCTTTTACTGAGAAATATTTTCAGGCATAACCTTGTTTTCTGTCATCTTTAGAAGATAGGCTACATAAGTGTCCTTATTTATTTCAGTGATTTAGAAAAGTCATGCATGGGCATTATATTATTGTTTTATTACTAGTTTTAGAAAGAACTAAATCCATGTGTTTCATTCAGCCCGTTTTAGATTCAGATTAATTATTTCAACATGATACAATATTTGTACAGAGATGAGTGACATTCAGGTGTACAAGCAGGAAGCCCCTCAGTATACAGAGTATTTCGGGCATATTGTTGATGACAAGTTCAGCAGAATTGATTTTAACAGTGATCAGATATGAAAAAGAAAACATACATTCTTTCTATTCTCTTAACAGAAATCGCAGCAACCAGCAGGAAAGACTCGGGCAGATTTGGGACTGATGGTGCTTGTGTTATCACTGTTCATTATCATTGTGCTGGGTATCTCCCTCACTACGTACTTCTACAACCTTCACTTACTGGAGGTCAGAAAACTTTCATGTACTCGGTTGCATTGCTTAATAATGCAGTGCTTAACGTTTTTTCCACGTTTTTATAGTCTACTTTGTAAATATTGTAAACATTTTATTCTTTAAGTGCACGTGTCATATTAATCATGATCCTATTATTACTGTAGTATTTTATTCACAAAAATAGCACTAAACCCATATGGGTCATCAAGCATTATCAGTAACCATAGACTGTTATATTTTCATATTATTCCTATTTACAGCTATCAATATTTAACTGCATCAAGTTTTATGAGACTCCAAGAATTCTGGAAATTTATAATAAAGACTGGAAGCCTCTAACTACAGTACATCTAGGGACTACCCTCTCTGCCAACGCTATACCAGAAGACTGCACGCATTATCTTCATTATCTTCAAAGACATAACTACTCTATGCGACACCAAAGAATTGATGAAGATTATGAGTAAGTATAATTTATAATGGGAATATATTTTTTGTACATGAATTGTATACATTACCGACAAGATGAAGAATTAGACACATGTGCAACATCTGGGTGTCTTTATTGTTGACGTTTCGCCATCCAGTGGCTTTATCAATACAATAACATAACGTGAAGACTGTAGAACTATATGCAAGAGATTAGGTAATCAATCCTTCAGCCTTGGAGTTGGTGAAGAATCTTAGATTCTTCAAGACTACGGTACTCTTCAACGCCAAGGTTGAGAGACTGATTACCTCATCTTTTATATAGAAGTTTCGCCACTGGATGGTGAAACGTCTACAAATAAAGATACCCGGATATTGAACATGTGTCTAATTCTTCAATATATTTTTTAGGACACCGGGCGTCTCTCACCAAGGTGGGGTGACTTCGGTGGCTAGCTAAAAAATGTGAACATATTGTGCAAATATTATAACTTTGTCTATTTGAGGTACCTGAGTATTGAGTTAATGGCCTCTTCTGCTTTTATTAGAATCATTGAACAAATGGACTTTAAAACCTTGAACTAATAAAAAGTGTGCTAATAATGAACTTTGCACATATTGTATTTCCTTGTATGTAACTATGTTTTCCTTCACGCAGGGATATGATATGCTTGGACTGGACTGATATGGCTCAGTTGCATCTTCGAAAATTGTATGCTGAAGGTGATATCCAGTGTTACTCAGTGTGGTGGGGAGCAGCACATGAACACATGAAACTCAGAGACTGTTTAAAAGCAGACACAGAGCATGGAGTGTGGTGGGGTGGTGGGGAAATGAGCGAGGGTGGATACCCGGTTACAAATGCACACATTGCACCCATAAAAATGGTGACAGGCAAACTGGGAAGAGATTCTTGGGGTCAACTCCTACGTCGTACCTGGCTCTCTAATCGAGCTTCTCTCTTAACATTACCAGAGAATTTCCGAGGAGAGGTATCCATTAATTACGAGAGTGATGGGCAAGTATGCTTCGAGTCGGGACCTAGTCTGTCAGTTATAGCACCATTACCAACAATGAAGTACCATCTTTGCACAGGCCCAAACCTAACTTCACTTATATATTTCATGCAGAAACAAGCAGTAATGAAAAGAAAAATTGTTGCTGAGTCCGCCTCAAGTCTTGTCACACATGTTTTTGAAGTGGAAGAAAAAGAAACACTAGGTTCACCACAGAGTCATCCAGACGCTGCTGGCCATCAGAATGTTTCACGGACAATCCGTGGAATATTAAAAGAAGTCTTTAAGGAAGAAGTAAAAGAGCGTGTTCAGGAGAGGCTTGAACACCCTGTTTGGATTCCATGGATGCCACCTCAGTATTCAGCAATTACACAAGCTGCAGTATTAGAATATGTAGACAGTATTCTTAGTAAAAATTATGGATTTTGGGGGCATGTATTACTTCCGTCTTCTTGGCAAAGTAAACCTGGCAGTTTAGAATTTGATTTCGAAAGATTTCCTGATCCATCATCCTTGGAACAGAAACTGGAAACTAAAGGCTTCCGTTTGGCTCTAACTATTCACCCTTTTGTCAGTGTCCATACTTCAGCCTTTAATGCTGGGACAAAAGAAAATCTGTGGGTGAGACAGAGAAATTCCTCCCTACCTGCACTGGCTAATTATGATGACAGATATCCTTCAGTAGTTACAGATTTTAGTAATCCAAGAGCAAAAGAATGGTTTTCCTCTCGCTTGCAACACCTGCAGAAATCATACAAAATTGATCGCTTCCATTTACAGCCAGCAGATGCTCATGCTCTCCCAGTTTTTCATGAATATCACGCTCCCCTTCCTGGACCTGACTCAGTATTAGTACATTTTTTGGCTGCTGTAACTGCCGTATCACCTCCTGTGAGCACTGAAGGTGCAGTCACACCACCAATGCCTCCCACTTTCCTGACACTTGGTACAGCTGATGAATCCTGGAAGGGCTTGGAGACACTGGTGCCGCGTGTTTTAACTCTGGCTATGTTAGGGTATCCTTTAGTTGATGTAGGACCCATTGGTGGCGTGGCTAGAGATGGTCATGTTCCTGAGAGAGAACTGTATATACGATGGTTGGAGGCAGCAACATTTCTACCAGCTATGCAGGTTAGTGTTGTAAATTTTCCTCTTTAAGTTTGCTGATGTAAATAATGTCAATTCTTGTGAATAAATTACACAAATATATTTTAATAAAGAACAAAAAAGGCGCACTACCGTAACTACAACAATACACAAATAAGCCGCACAGAAACGAGAGAAACTTATGACTACGTTTCGGTCCGACTTGGACCATTTACAAGCGACTTGTAATGGTCCAAGTCTGACTGAAATATCGTCATAAGCTTCTGTCCCCCTCAAGGGAGGTTCCTTGACGCTGGTGAGAGGCTCTTGATCTAGGGAATTGGATGTGTGCTCCAGTTCCCTGAATTGAGCCTGAATGCCTGCCATCCCCCCCACGTGTATAATCCTACGGGTTTAGCGCTCCCCCATAATAAACAACTCTCTCTCCTATGTGCGGGTTTATATATAATATATATATATATATATTATAATATAATATAATATATATATATATATATATAATATATATATATATTATATCTTTCAACAAGCCGGCCGTCTCCCACCGAGGCAGGGTGATTCAAATCATTCGGGTAAAACCAGATACTAATATCAAGCTTTCTCCAACATGATATTTTCCCAGAGAATCTTTCCAGATTCATACAAGACAATATAATGCATAAAATGTAATAAAAATACTGTTAGTGTATGTTATGGCGTTCTTATGTTTAAACCAAATCTTTCTCCATGAACATTTCTGTTGTTCATATGCTGTACTTAAACCATTATGGATTATTCGTAGTTACTGGTAATACTGCAACGTTGCAAAGGAAGCAGTCCACTTGAATTTTCATTAGTCTTTTGCTTTACACATTTATGAAATGTCTGTTAAGACCTGTGTCACGGATAGCAAAAATACTTTGACAAAGACTTGGACCCAGGTAACACGAGTCCAAGTCTTTGTTAATGGTGGTGTCATTATCATATATTTTCATTTCATTTGTATTGTAATTTCGGTGCACTTCTGGAAAGACTAAGTTTTGAATGAGTAATGGTGGATGTGTTTCATTCATTGAGTTCACGAGTACACTAAGAGACAACGCAGTAAGTGCCAGGAGCCCAAGACGTTCAACTGCCTCCCATCATACATAAGGGGGATTACCAATAGACCCCTGGCTTTCTTCAAGAAGGCGCTGAACAGGCACCTAAAGTCAGTACCTGATCAGTCAGGCTGTGACTCGTACGTCGGTTTACGTGCGGCCAGCAGTAACAGCCTGGTTGATCAGACCCTGATCCACCACGATGTCTTGTCTCAGACTGGGCCGCAGGGGCGTTGACCCCCGAAAAGTTCTAACAGTATTATGAAATCATCAATATGAGAGTGTCTATTCACTCCATTTCTTTCAGATGCAAAATGCTGGGCCTATACTATATAGAAAGCCTTTGTTATGCAGAGCATTTCGGGCAAATTAGGTCAGTTTTGTCCCCAGGATGCGACCCATACCAGTCGACTAACAGCCAGGTACCTATTTTACAGATAGGTGACATGGATGACAGGTGTTTTAAGGAAACATCCTAATGTTTCCACCCATACCGGGGATCGATCCCCGAACCTCACTGTGTGAGCTAAGTGCGCTAGCGATCGATCTACGAAAAAAAAAATTAAGCATATTCACAGCATCAGTATTTATGACGGAGGCTTCCTTTGCTTGGTAGAATATTATTTGTTTGTTTTTTTCTTATATTTTTTTTACCCTAAAATTTGGAGTGTTTATTCCAAGTTATTAATTTTTCATTAGAAATTGTTAAATCTATCAGAATAGTAATTCAGTTTGGATACTTAATTATTCTTGTGAGGATTGCAAAGTACTGTTTTAGTGTTTCTTTAAGATGTATTATTGTCACTATCATTCCATGACTCTTTGATCATTCCTTAAAAGTATAATGCATGAACTCAAATATATTTAGTGTTTTTTTTATTTAAGGCATTTGGACTAACATATTTTACGTCCCAACAGATCAGTGTTTTGCCACACACGTACGATCATGAGGTAGTAAATTTGGCAGCTGAATATTCAGAGATTCGGAAAAATATTGTTCTACCTCGCATCCTTAAGAATATTTCGAGTTCTCTGGAACTGGGAACTCCATTACTTTACCCACTGGCACTCTTTGCTCCAGACGACTCTGAAGCTGCAAAAGTTGACAATCAATGGATTTTAGGGGAAGATCTACTCGTAGCTCCGGTTACACAAAGAGGAAAGCGAGCCCGGAGTATTTACCTTCCAGAGGGAATCTGGAAGGATGAAATTGATGGCCATTTGCGACGTGGGGGTCGTTGGATCAAGAATTATAAAGTTCCTCTAACAAAAACACCGCATTTTACTCTGAAGTCAATAGACGATCAAGTCTGATAAGCATTATGAGTGACATTTATTCAAACTTTAACAAAATGTTCGCAGAACTGCAGTTGTTGTCTTTATGAATCGAAATCACTATTCTATGTGATTTCTCTGGCTTTTTCATGCATTTCTTAAAGTGAACTTCACCTTCATTAGCACTTCATGTATAAGGACAGACTTTTGGTGTAAATGTATTTCAGAATAATGAGGAACTTAGTACTATGGTGATATTCTAAATGAAAACAAAAATAAACACTTTCAGTATTTTCAAGTAGGTCACTGGTAATATGTAATATTTCTTTAAAATTTATATTATTTTTTTGTTGATTAACGAAACAGTTTCTCAAAAATTTCATTAATATTTAAACGAAAGATAACAACATTATCCCAGAACAGAAAAAGTTGTTCCTTGTCACTGAAATACAAATAATGTTTCGTATGTTTATTTATTTACAGAGTTAATATAATGTACCAACACAAGATGATGCAACACAGGGAAATGTTTATTCACACAGTTCAGTGTGGATAAACAGTGACTTATATTAACAGTGACTGTTATAAATTACGTGTGGTAATAAAACTCTCACTAAGCTAGGTTTTTGTAAAAAAAAACGTTATGGCCTCTTTTTCTTATCTGAAATGTTGCTCGCCAAATGCTGGAGTTTTGATATCTATGCATTTATAAACCCTTAAACAACCCGAAAAGTTTATTGGTATTCAGCCCCTCCTGCCCTGAACTCTTCTGCGCTGAAGAGAAGACAGGTATAGAACAAGTATTTATTGTGATGCCAGTGTGTTTTATATATAGTGTAATAATGTTACAATAGAAGTTTGTTCTCCATTTGTGCTGTCTTCATTACTGTTGGCAGCACCTCTCTCTATCCAGCTTGCACTGTCGTGTAAGTAGTTGCGAGACTGGCTTCACTATCTCCTGGTCACCTTCATACCTACTCTTAAAGCTGCGTGTGGAGTCGACTACCCAGAAGCTGAAGATGTATTCCTTAATATCCCTGTAGCTCATTTACTTTGATTTCTAGCAGTAAAAAACATTTAAAGTAATTTTTTTTATTTAAAAATATTTTATTATTAATAGTCTGAATAGAAATCTTGATCTACATCTTATCATTTATAGTAATTGCAGAAATAATCAACTAATGATAAGAAAAAATTCCAAAATGTGTATTATATAATGACATGAAATCCCATAAATATAAAATACGCATTCATCAGTGTATTTTAGCTATGTAGATATTACTGGTTTAAATGCTTCTCTGTAATTTACTGATCATTTACATGGCAGTAATGAATTGCAAGTTGAGAAGTTGCAAAGCCACAGATTTTATTACTATTATTTGCATGTACATGTGTGTACTTTATGGTACATAATGTGTTGTATGTAATGGTACTCTGAAACATCTGAAGAGAGCATTATCCCCCCCCCCCAAAAAAAAAAAATGTAAATACGGTAAACATTTTTTTTTTTTTTTTTCAACAAGTCGGCCGTCTCCCACCGAGGCAGGGTGAACATATTGTAAGATATTAAATATTTTTTTATAATTTAGTATCTGTACATCAGTATAATGAATATTTGCAAGTGTTTCATTCTCATATGGTTGTGACTATAAATATGTAATTGTATTTCTTGTACATAATATTTTGTGTGTAAGTTGAGAGTTATATTTCGAGAAATATATTTGAAAACTACCATGTACAGTACCTGTATTATTTATATAAAATATATGTTATAAATATTTGTTCATCTATGTCACTTATCACAAATATGACTGGAATCATATCCTCAAATTGCTCACACTTTTGATAGGAAATTTTAGACGATGTTTCGTTGACTGTTGGACCATTATCAAGTCACAGTTGAGCCAGAAAATTATGAGCCTCACTGATCTTTCAGTGCCAAATGTAATTATTGAAAGTGTTGCAGAATTTTCCTGTTTCTACCTAAGTAGTGGTTTCCATATTATATTTAACTATTAAAATTGATGGTCATTAAGTCTGCTGGAATGTAGGTACATTATTATTGTTAACAAATAATCATGAAGTATAGCTGAGCATACAATGAGTGCAATTTAATATTTAAGCAATTAAATCACATATAACAAATGTAATAACAACAATGTAGATTGTACTATATTTCATAAAGTGAAATAAACCCTTGTAGGTTATTCAGAGCAATTAATGGTTCGACTCGGCCATCCATCCAGTAACTGTGGCCTGGTCTCTGATCTGCTGTTGGTGATGTTTATCAGTAACAAATAAACTAAGTAGAAACTGAATTTAGATGGTGCATTGAGGGTTCTGTGGAGACAACTTTTTTTCAGTGGCGGTAAGGGGAATGCACAGTACCAAAGTAGAATGGTAATAACACTTATCATGGGGTGTAGCATAGGTTTTAATAGGTGCGACGAGGGGAATGATGGAGGCAATAGAAATGTGTTTGAGGGTAATGTGTAATGTGAATATTATGGAGAGAATTCTGAGCTTGGAGGTTAGAAGGCATGGGGTTACCAAAAATATAATTCATATAGCTGAAGAGGGGTTGAGGAAGTTTTGACGTTTAGAGATGACGGAGCCAAATAGGAACATTAGGAGGATATATAAATCTGGGGTAGAGGGAAGGGGGAGTAGGGATCGTCCCTGGAAAATTGGAGGGAGGGGGTAAAGGAAGGTTTGAATTCTAGTGATTTTAACATCCAACAAAGTTGCGTGAGCAAATTAGTTCAGAGTGTGTGGGGCAAGTATTATTTTTTAACTTTGACATGCATTTGAAGTGCAATCGAGATATTATTTATGAAGAGATTCAGGGAAACCTGTTAGGTAGATTTGGGTCCTGAGAGTGAGAAGTACTGTGCCTGCGTTCTGCAGGAGAGGAAAAATCCGCTGAACAGATAGCATTGTATTTACACAGTTCTAACTGCTTAATGCCTTATCATTCATAACTGGAGAGAGAACTGTGACCTCATCTGCAATATTACATTCCAATTATTTGAAAAAATGCACATGGATGCAATTTTCAATGCTTATTTAGGCAGTGCAATTGTATATAATATAAATATGAGTATATGTATAGATTTTCATTAACATGATTTTTATTAAATAATAGCATTGTATATTTTACATTCTTAAATGAGATATACATATTAAGTTTATGATATTTGCTACATATAGTATTATTTATTAATGAAAAATTACATTTGGAGGGACATACCTTGATGCTAGTGAGAAGCTCTTGATCCAAAGAATTTGATTCATCCTCTCCTTGGGTTGAACCTGAATGACTCCCAAGCACTATGTGACCACTACAGATTTAGTGCTTAACGCTGATAAAAATTAATAATAAAAAATAATTATATATGGCAGCCTCACATTTATTTAGGATATCCTAGCAGTCAAGTGCAGTCTGTATAGTTTGGGAGTTTTGAATGACTTAGTGAGCAGCTTATCCAGGCTAAATATTTCTCAATGTTTTGACAGCTATAGAGAGCACCTCTCTTTTGTCAAATTTTCTAACTTAAATTATGAATGTAGAATGATACCTACCTGTAACAAGGTTTGTCATTGTAAATATAGTATGGTACCTACCTGACATACATTTGCCACTGAGTGTAGCATGGTACCTACCCGCTTCATAAGTTTGCCATTGTAAGTGCAGTATGGTTCTGTAGTTATCCGCTTCATAAATTTGTCATTGTAAGTGCAGTATGGTACTGTATTTACCTGCTTCATAAATTTGTCGTTGTAAGTGCATTATGGTACTGTATTTACCCGCTTCATAAGTGTGTCATTGTAAGTGCGGTATGGTACTGTACTTACTTGCTGTACAAGTCTGCCATTGTAGTCTAGAGTGGCACCTACTTGTTGCTGCTGCTACATACGTTTATCATTGTGAGTTTAATGTAGTACCTACTTGCTACATACGTTTATTGTGAAAGCATTTTGGAATCTACTTACTCTGTAAGTGTGCCATGGTGAGTAGTGGTAATTATCTGCTACGTAAATTTTGTAACATTGCCATCTTGTAATGTTTACATAAATCTGGTGATCCCAGGCCACTCCTTGCGTCCAAATATGTATTGTGAAGTTCTTAAAGATATGTATTTACCATTTATTGCTGCAATTTATTCTTCACACAGAATGTAAAGCATATGCAACAAATAAACCCATAATTGAATTTTTGGTTTACGTTTCCTGATTCCATATAGAGGCAATTATTTGAAAATTCAAATCCTGTACAAGAAATATTAACTTTAAATCACCTTAAGAACCTTTAATTACTATGTATAGTATAAAATGATTTACGATACACAGAATATAAACTAGCAACGTGTGAGACGGCAGCGGTTTGCAACCTTGTCTGACACAAAATTTAAAATTTCAGTTACAGTATGATGGTAAGGGGCTCTTGTTCTTAAGAGATGGGTCTGTGGTCCACTTTTTTAAATCGAGTCAGAATTCTTTCTACTCAACACCCCCCCCACTCCTCAGATGCTGTATGACACCTACAGGTTTAGTGCTCCCCATGAATGTAACAATAATCAGGTAAGTATCCATATCTGAAGGGAAAAATCTGCATATCAGCCCCTTCCACACAGGAGAATCTCGTGGTTAGACGTCCAGTCACCTCTGAGAAGTACTGACCTTCATTGATGATCTGACACCTTTTGATTATTTCTTCCGTTTATCAGTGAGATTGTAGGGTATATTTCCATCCTGTTTTTTTTTTTTTTTTTTGACACTGAACCCCTTCCCCCCTGAGTTCGGCCTTCAGAGCTGATTCTCTATTATTTCATAGATAAAATTGACCTACTACACCAACTTTGCGTTTCCCTTTTCATTTGCCTCTACGTACACCGACGCCCTGAGCATAGGTAACAAGTTCCCCGGGGTTCTCCCCAGGATGTTTGTCATCATGCATTTCTTGCTGGGTAATTAATTGGGCGCCATTCATCAAATTATTTTTTCCGCTCTGACTATTAATATTATTATTATTATTATTATTATTATTAATATATTATTATTATTATTATTATTATTACTAGTTTCATATTATTATTATTACTATTTACGTATTATTATTATTATTTATGTATTATTATTTTAATTATCATCAAATTAAATGTTACACTCCTACAGGTCATACAGTTAGGGATTTCCAAGGCTTAGGGAAAAATAATATTTAATGAGCTAAACCCGAATGGGTCATACAGTGCTGTGAATAGGGGTGTGTGAGACTAAAAATATGAAAAGGTGTGAGGATAGTTGTTAGTGGAGGTGGGGGCTAGCGCCAGTGTAGAATCGATATTATTATTGGTGTAATAGGTTAGTTTCCGTTTAAGTCTAAGAGAGAGAGAGAGAGAGAGAGTCTCCGTCAAAGGTGGAACTTTCAGCAAGAAGGTCAGAGTGAGTGTATTTAGAACGATGAAGATTTCGGAAGTGAATCCTGCACAACCGCTGATACATAAGTCTTGCTCTACCCCAGCCTTGAGCATCAGTGATAAATTTCCTCAGTTTTCCTGCTCGGGACGTTTATCTTCATCATGTCTTCTGGTCAACTGTTCGGGGCGCCTTAAGATTAGGTAAGGTATGTCAGGAAGAAAGAGCAAGTGTTTCCTGACGCGGGTTTTCAGTAATATGATGACCCACAGCTAGAGTTTTTGGTCATCTGACCGAGGCCTTCCACTGGCTTACCCTTCCACCCCTTTAAAAATTATGGCTACGATTATAACCATTAGATTACAAGATAGATATACCTTAAGCCTAAGGAAAGCTTGCTGCTTTTGACTCGGGTGAGGGTATGAGTAGGCGTCTTGGCTGCCAGGGTTTAGGCAACAGGGTCCCCTGATGTAATTGGACAATATTAGTCCCGTTTTTGCTTTCGGGGAAGCAAATCATGTTCATTTCAGTCCAGATTTGGGCAATATATTTTCCCGCACTCCCAGGAGGCAGGGCTAATAAGACGTAAGTTTTAGTGACTCTTAACGCCCCAACAACAACAACAATAACAACAACAGGTAATCTGAGACAATGTAGTCTAGTGCTGAAAAAAGACACGTAAGAGAAAAATGTATTTTTATCTTCAGTCAAGTACTTTATGAAGCCTCTTGTAGGTGAAATGCCGTATTTAAGGGAAGGCTTACTTCTGCTGTACTTGTCTTCTCCCAAGAGCCTCTGGTACTGGCCTGTGTTGCAGGCTAGTCATCCAACACCTAAGTATTGGTATGTATCGCGTATTTTTGTATTTATTCAGACCTTTCAATTCAGATGCTTTCCGTGTAGGCCTTTAAAGGGAGGTCCTTGATGGTGGTGAGGGGCTCTTTAGCCAAGAAAATGAATTCATTCTCCTTTCCTTGGATCGAACCTAAATGTTTCCCTTTTCCAGGCGTTATATGATCCCTACGATTTTAACGCTTCCACATGAATAAAAATAATTCCAGTGTAGGGAGAGATATTGTTCGTGTAGTAATGCCATAAATAATGAGCTTATATCATATATTTATCCATTTATCACTTCCAGTATGGATGACATTCAAATAAGCTGACTAGTCACGTAATGGAAAACCTTAATAGTGTCAACCAGGAAAAACAAACAAGACTATGTCTGGCTCAGATACAATGTCATGAAGACTACTGTTCATAATACTCCCCTCATGGGAGGTTCCTTGACACTGGTGAGGGGCTCTTGATCTAGGGAATTGGATCTTTGCTCCAGTTCCCTGAATTAAGCCTGAATACCTTCCATCCCCCCAACAGGGGCTGTGTAATCCTACGGGTTTAGCGCTCCCCATGATTGTAATTATAATCATCATAGTACTCTGTTCTAACCATGCTCTATGACCCATACCAATTTAGTGCTTTTAACAAAGTAATGAACCGTATGGATTTATCGATTAGTTATGGTTATAATAATAATAATTACCAAAGTAATCCGCTCTTACAAAAAAAATCTGAAAATTGTGGATTATTCTAGCCATGCTATAATACCACGGATTATACCATCACTACTCCTCCTCACAGGACTCAACGAATGACTCTCCCACAAGGGTCCGTCGCTTTATTCATAAAGATGATTTCCCACGACCCATGATATTAAGCAACCTCCCTGATAAAGAGGATTGGGTACCACCAGAACCCTTCTATGTATACTGAAAAAATCATCGCCCCCAATTAGGGAGACATCTTATATAACTTTCTAAGGTAAAAATTATGCTATTTACTATGGCTGGACACCACCTGTAAGAAGCCATTGTCACGAACTTTATAAACTGGCCAGAAAATTATTGCCTTCTTTGTCGCATAAATATCTTGTGCAATCGCAAAAAAAAAAAAAAAAAAAAAAAAAAAAAAAAGCAATTGCAACCTGTAAATTACTACCAATTCAGAGTCATGTACTTATATATCTGTTATATCTATGTGACTCTGATGGGTTAGTCTTATACCCCTTAAATAAATATATTATCATTTTACGTACACTTTTTAAATCGCACCGAAGTGGTTGGGCCACTTACCTTTATATCCTACCTCTCACCCCCCTCCCACCCTTTTCCAATATTTCCATCCTTACCCATCCTTCTTCCTTCCCCATCTCACCAAAGCTCTGGTCTGAACAATCGAAAATATTGTAACTGTTCTTTAAAGGCGTAATTATATGAAACTCGTTCAGAGAAGTTTTATTTATTCAGCGTTGCAAGGTCGAGATTGACAAGTGACTCAAGACAAGTATTTAAAATTATCAAAGGGCATAACAATCTTGAATCATAAAAAAGGAGTTTTTGACATTGCCAGAGTCAGGGAGTGTGCCAAGGATATAACAGGCATTACCTCTCTGGATCGAAACATTGAGGCACTGGAAAAAAAAATACATGGCATTTCTGGTATCCTCTGTTTAAATATTTGCAGTTTCATTTTATTGTTTATTATTTTCTATGCTATTTAATACTTATTCTTATATATTAGATATTCAGTTATTACTATTATTATTATTATTATTATTATTATTATTATTATTATTATTATTATTATTATTATTATTATTATTATAATATTCTCTATATATACTACTGCAGTACTACTGACCCTCGTAAAACCGATAGGCTTTGAAACCAATTAATGAACCATGAGAGGTGAATCTCTGTGTATGTACTGAGTGCAACAGTGTATATAAACCAAGGTGTGTATATCAGAACATATGTGCACTGGATATACAAAATATATGTGCACTGGATATACAAAACATATGTGCACTGGATATACAACACATATGTGCAATGAGATTTTAGTTTTATACCTATTATATGCCTTGATGTTATAGTTCTGGTAACTTGCATCCATAATGACCCACCTGCAGTTGATAGGATTTAAAGCTAACAAACCAGCCGATTAGACATGCTCTGAGTTACAAGTTAGACCTAGAAAGATGCAGCGCGGCTTAATTCAGAGAGCATGTATTGGAGGAGCTTAGTGAATAGTGAGTAACCCGCAAACTAAGATTCTACAACACACAGTAAAACAAAACTTTTATTAAACAATATTCTCTTTAAACAGGGCTGGATAACGACTTGATAAAGGCGTATGATCAAAAGGTTCTCTCTGATATGTTTAACAGTCCTGAGAAGTGTTCGAGTCTAGATGTGACGTCAGTGTTGTGTGCCTTGACAGTCTAGATTCGACCTGACACTCTAGATATAACCAGACAGTCTGAATGCTTAACGATCTAGAAGTGAACTTACCTGGCAGTTTTGAAAAATAGCGTCATTTTTTGGAAGTGCTGAAACGAAGGTGTAACATAAACTTCGATGTAGAAGGTAAGAGCAAAGTGTGGCTCTCAGAGTAACAATTAGATTTGTTGCTAAGTCACTAACTTAAATGTGTGAAGCATATTTACACACAAACTTTCTCTTGTGCTTGTACAACACTGTACTGTAAATTAATATTTATTCTTTATATAATAACACTTGGAGACAAATGAAATCAATGAGTGGGCTGTATATTCGGCCTTTAACTGAGGCCCTCTTCAGTGTTAAAGATGTAAAGATAAGACATTATCATCAAAGTTTAATGAGGATTGCGAGCTCACTAGAATATTTTGCCAATAATTACTGTCAGAAAAACTTGATAAAATGATTTTAATATAGCTCACTGTAAATTCAAAAGAGGAGAGCCTTGGCGCGAGGT